CTTCAACAAGAAGTCGCATTGATCTAAATTAATATATACATTGATATAATATACACTAGACAAAAGATAACACAGAACCTTTCTAGGAACTCTAACAGACTCTTATGATGCCAAATTTTATCGAACCGATATGATTTCCAGTATTAAAACGCTTGCTTCCATCTAGTACATTTGTCATTTTCCATTTATATAGTAAAACCAGATTTTTTTCCGCTAAAAAACTGGTTTTAGAATTTCATAATTTTTGTCAAAAAGCCGGTTTTCAAAACCGGTATTTGAAAACCGACAAACTCTAATATCATTGTTTAATCAGGTCGTAAATCTAATGTTGATCTATTTTACGTCACCCCTACTTTCAGAATATGAGCATCCACAAACCAGACAGATGTATTTTTTGTAATTTTTTTTACCTTTCTTTTTCATAATTTGTCTTTTTTCAGTTATATTTGTCTTTACATGTTCTACCTTATAAAACCGGAAAAAGCGTAAAAAACATGTCACAACCGTACCCACAAAATTTGTCACAACCGTACCCAACGCACACTTTTAAAACAAATCATCGTTATGACAGCAAAATTTTTTACGTAAAAATTAACTACTAGTAATTAATTACTAATGTTCAACTTACAGCAAAATAGCAGACAAAGTGATCTATCTGTATACAAGTAACAATAGTTAATAAAAAAAATTCGAACATAAAAACTTACTTTTGGCTCTCTAAAAGCAATGCGGTCTACAGATCATGTTAATATAGAACACTGACTTATTGAACTAACGGAAACTTGTTCGAACAAACATACTTCATCTTTCTCCCTTAGACCCTATCTCAAAATCAGTGTATAGTTTAACTGTTATGACTTCTGTCTCCACCGTACCCAGTCTCCCCTACTGCATATGTGGAAAATTCAATGAAAGTTGCATTTAATTCATGGCCGCTTTCCTGACGTGTTTGCCTACATACATGCACATTCTTTGTAACGAGTACGAAGTTTTAATAATTAAAGTTTTAATGAGTGGCAAATGGATCTATGTTTATTCATTGAAATGAAGGCGGTCGTAGAGAGTTTACGCACTAATTGTTTGAAATACGTGTATACTTTCATAACTCATAAATTTAAAAACAGAGATGAAATACATATTTAGCTTTGGAGTTGAGCTTTCAACTAGAATATATGTTCTAAAATGCAAACTGTTACTATGCATGATTTTTAAATTATAAATATCATTTTATAATTGAGCTTAACATATTATAGATAATTACTGACTTGTAACAAGTATTGAAAATATTCAAACTATGAATATGATATAATTACCTGCCCAAGGGCAAGTTATAGTAATCCCAAAAAAATCGAAAATGAAAATTTTTATATATCTTTACGTTTTAAAGGTTTCTGAACATTTTGGCATACCTTAAAAATACCGTATGTATGTGTATGCGGATACAAGTTTTCGTCGACGATTTCGGGAACACGGAAAACCGATTTGAATAATTTGATTTGAAAATTCGATTCGTATTGATAAGGACACATGCTGATCAGTTTATGGCGAAAGCAGGTCTATCCGTTCCGAAGATACGGGGAAAAAAGTGCCAAAAGCGGTAACTCATTTTACTTGTATTGACAAGATGAACTGATTAAATTTTTGGGAAGGCAGGTCCAGCGGTTATGGACTCTGAATAAAAATAAGTTAAATGTCATTTGGAGGTCAAAAATGTTTATTGGACTTATGCACATCAAATTATAAGATATTTTTTAGAGATTTTCATAATGTATGCACATTTTGTGAATTTTTGTTGGGTTCCGTACCAAGATTTTTAATTACGGTACGGTAAGTTTTATCAATTTGCTTAATGCACGATGTCATGCACCCCACTAGATATTTTATAGAGATTTTCATAATGTGTGCACATTTTGTGAATTTTTGTTGGGTTCCGTACCAAGATTTTTAATTGCGGTACAGTAAGTTTTAGCAATTTGCTTTAAGGCACGATGTCATGCATCCCACTAGTTTTTCCAGTTTTTCAAATTCTAGAGACAAAGTTGGCTCTGTGGGTCACTGTAAAATTTGTATGATAAAATGGAAACGTAATGTATAGTATATATTAGGGTAGTCCTTAATATGGATGTTTTCGAATTTTCTTGCTTCCAAGGGCTCAAATGTTTCCAAATCGATAGAAAAAAAATCTCTGAATCTTTTAGCTTTTAATATTAACTTTAAGATAGTTCGCACTTCAACCAAAGTTATGTATATTCTGTTGCAAGGATTTATATTTTCTTATTGTCTATCGATTATATTAACAAATGTCGTTTAATTGGTTGTAAGTGGCATTTTGCCTTAAAAAAACACTTTTGTAAAATCACCGTTTTTACAAACAACTTCGGCAAACAGCCAAGTTTTTGCTAACATAAATACAGCCACGCTCATACACATATACTTTTAGTAATTGCGGTCTCAAATGATTCAGAATGACTTGAAATTTCAGGAAAATACAAAATAAGCAATATGACATACCAACGTTAACATATAAAATTATTTTGAGTACTTTCAAGGCATTTGTAATATTTTACCTAAAGCTTTGTTCGAAATTAATGAATGAATGTGGTAGTTGGTTATAGATATAGGTGTGGGTAGATTTTAATACATCCTAGTTCTTTAATTATTACACCCACCTGGAAGAAGTTTTAATTGGCAGTATTGTTATATCAAACTCAATTAATTAACTAGTTGACAGTTGGTGTAACAAGAGTTTTTACGCCGTCTTGTAATTATTAATTAGCCGTATATCAATTACGAAGCCGGAAGGTAAAACGCAAGCGTAGCAGAAATAATGGCACATGTGCTAAAGTTGGCAGTATAATCTATCAATTAATTAATTTTGTCATTCTCTGTAACATCGACATCGACATCGACTAAGGCACATGTCAAACTTCACACTAGCAATTCCATCGAGATTTATTTCTCTGTCTCTGTAATTTATTTTTGCATTAAATAAATTATCCATGTGGGCGATGCACGTGTTTTGTTCCTTTATATGGTTGAGTTAAAAGCAACTTCTGAAGCAAAACAACAACTTTGGAATTGTGAGCTTCCACTTGATGACTTCAGGCTTTGTGCTTTTAGTGTCATATGAGCAATATGAACTTTCACTGTCATCCGACACTTTTGGGAATAAGGGATTTTCTTTGTTTTAACCGTGACTTTCACATACTTTATACGATTGTATATATATATATATATATATATACACACATATTGTATTTACACCCTAACATGAGAAAAAAACACACACATACAATCTCACAGTTCTCGTTTCAAGTGTTTACACGTGTTACATATGAATCCATCAAATACAGTTTAGTTCGCTTCCAAAAGCCAATAGTATAACTTCGAATACAATATTATTTGTTTTCAAATAATAATTTTAAAAAGACAACACTTTTAGTAATTTTGATTTACAAAAGTTAACTATTCGGCGAAAAATAACTCACAAATTCATTTTTTGTCAAAAATTCTTGTTTAGTGAAAAAGTGCTAACGTATATTCAAACATACAGGTAATTAATTCAATTTTATCATTAATCCTTTCTTAAAAAATTTTTCCATAAACTTCAAAAAATTTCTATCATTTTTAATATCCTGTTCTAATAATCCACTCATTTATTTTTATCATTTTCATTTTGATCATATTATCATATTTCTGTACATTATTATTTGTTACAATTAATTTATTATTTAAGAAAAATCTATTCTCTTAATATTCTTAAACATATTGTTTGCTTAAATCTTATCAAGATCATGTTTCTTGACAGATGTCCTGAAGATGGAACGTACCTAGTTCCGAAACGTTGACAGTAAACAAATAATTAAATAAAGAAATTGTTTATTAAAAACTTTTCTTGTTTTTTTATTTTGTATTATTTTTGGATTCTTGTTCGAAACTCTACAAAAAATATATATATGTATATATATATATATATATATATATATATATATATATTAGGGTGGTTCTTAATATAGACATTTTCGAACTTCTTTGCTCCCAAGGGCTCAAATGCTTCCAAATTAATAAAAAAATCCTATAACAGTTTTAGCTTCTAATATTAACACTTAGATAGTCCACAATTCAATTAAAAGTCTTAAATATTTATTATTAAAATATGTCATTAAACACATTCTTGCGCCATCTGTGATAATGTAATTGTAATTTTTATGACAATTTAATTTATTAACTTTGCGTAGGGTAAGTTATTGTAATCGTCTAAAAATCGAAATTTAAATTTTTTACATTTCTCGACGTTTTGAAAGTTTCTGAAGGTGTGCGTGTGTGTATGTATGTATGGAAACAATTTCTCTGCCACTCTTTTTTAATTTAATTGGATGATCCGTTCTCTCAAAAACTGCATGACTATTTTTACACCCTTTTTGCAAAAACACCTCGCGATCGAGTACCGAATGTTTGTTCAATAATACAAATCGGTTATTCCATACTGTCGAAAATGTCGAGGACATTTGTTTGAACCATATACATAAACTTCAAAATTAAAAATCTTGGTACGGAACCCAAAAAAATTTACATAAAATGTGTGCACATTATTAAAATCTCTATAAAATATCTGATAATTTGATGTGCATATGTCTAGTGAACATTTTTATCGCCAAATTACATTTTTAAAAAAAATAATTGAGAGTGCATAACCGTTGGACCTGCCTTTCTAAGAATTTTAACAGTTCTTCGTTTAATCAATACAAATAAAATGTTTTTTTGAATTATTGAAAAATTATTTAAAAAAAAAGTAAATTTTTGTCAAAAATTTATAGTTTCTCAAAAATCGAATTTTTTCACAGTATTTTTTTTTTCAAAAATGTAAATCTTTTTAAAAAAAAAAAATTTTTGGTACGGGAAGTTCCAGCAATTTGCCTTAAGGCACGATTCCATGCACCCCACTAGTTTATACTTACCCCTTATAGTTTGACTATAACTCAATTTTCTTATAATTTCAGGTCATACGAGACAAGGCCTTCGATGTAAAACTTGTAAGGCGAACGCTCACGTGGATTGCGCCAGCCGGCTTCCTCGTTGTCAGAGCAAGGCGCGCTTACTTCGCCGCCAGCGAAGCACCTCGGAGATCGAGCCGACGGTGGAGGATCAAAGTGAGTTTATTCTTTGTCCTTTTACCAATTCGTATCATGATGACTTATTTGTAGTATTTGATAAATATAAGGGTCTACAAAAATTCGTAGTAAAAGTTGTATCCTGGTGACATATTTGTAGTATTTGATAAATGTAAGGGTCTACAAAAATTCGTAGTAAAAGTTGGACAGACGTGTTTTATTAAGGATCTACATAACAATTATAAACTAACGTCGTACTTAACTCTTATGAAATGTTGATGTTCTTATCTACATATCTACATAACAATTATAAACTAACATCGTACTTAACTCTTATGAAATGTTGATGTTCTTATGAGATGCAAATTGGTCGTTTGCTGTCGTACATGTTAAACTCATAATTATGGCAAGATACAGACGTATTTTTAACGAACCTGTATATTGATTATTCAATTTATATGCCTACAATTATTATGGAGTCAACTTAGTTAAATGAAATGTTTCAGTCGATAGTTTGTTATCGCTAATTTTAAACGTCGGTTGAAATATTGCAGTAATTTTATATGTTGGATCATTATTCCGAATTTTCCATTAATATGCCTTCTTTGCCTCCATTAATATGTTAGATTTATTAATCTTTTAGTATAGTAAAAATTTCTGAAAATCAATCCTGTAAGTTCTATTTAGATATACTGATAACTCATTTTTGCGAAATAAATTACTTCACGTGCATTTTAAAAGACTTTTCCACATTGTAATCTCTTCTAATTTTATAAATACTTACGTACTTGCTTATATGCTATGAAGATGTAACTAATATGCTATACAGTAGTAGTAACAGGCAAAATAAATTCAAGTTGTATGAAAAAATAATTTTTTATATGAAATTGTGCCACAATTTTTTCTGTTCATTGGAAGTCATAAGGCCCAGAAATTATCGGAAATAAAGGAATATACAATGGAATAGAATATTATTTTTAAAAGACAAACTTTTCTTTAAACCATATTTGATATTTCAGCGACGAAATAACAATTTGCTATTATTAAGGGGCCACTTTTACATATTTTCACTGATACCTCGGCCAAATGATAAAATGATGAAAATTGATATTTTTTTTTTTTGAAAAGACTTATAAAATGGCATCAAAATCGTTTAAAAACCAAGTTGGGGCAGATTCTGTATGGAAACACGCCCATACCCTTTATTTGACAAATTTGTCGTTGGATTTTTTTTAAGATTAATAAAACATGATTACAGTGATGAATATAATTTATCTTGCAACATTTATATTGAATCTAATGGATCTATATTGAATTTTATGGATTAATCTGGATTCAAAAATTTAGCACTTTTACTTGCCTAACTTATTTCTAATCTAACTTACCTGAATAGGTGATCTACGAATCAATTTATTCAACTGAGCTATACAAGTATTTGGACATATGGATGTAATTCTAATATTATAAAATTCAATTGAATAAAAATAAAAAGTAGACTGAAACTTGAATTTATATATGTAGTAATATAGAGTTGCTATCTAAATTCGAAGCATTTATTTTTAAGAATTATATATAAGGAAAACGTATTTATTTATTTATTCAAAATAGATGCGATATATTTTTTTAAACGAAAGTAAAGTTTTTTTTTTTCAGAAACAAATCCACTTTAAATGGTCTACTCTATATTACCTCATATATATTTCAAGTTTCAATATGTGCTTTCATTTTTATTTATAGAGTTTAAATGTAATAATATTAGTAGTTATATTTGGAATAAGTGATTTATGATACATTAAATTTATCGCTATAATCATATTTATTCAGCATACGAAATTTTTCCAATGATGTTTTCGATTTTCTTTGCTCCCAGGAGCTCAAATGCTTCCAAATTAATAAAAAAAATCACTGAAAGTTTTAGCTCTTAATATAAACATTTAGATAGAGCGCACGCCAATTGAAATATTTGTTATTAACATACGTCATTAAGTAAATTCTTGCGCCATCTCTACAGTATTCTTATATAAATATTCTTATGTGTCATTATATTTGAGTTCACAAATACTATACAGATGGCGCAAGAATTTACTTAATGACGTATGTTTATAACAAATATAAGAAACTTTCAATTGACGTGCGCTTTATCTAAATATTTATATTAAGAGCTAATACTATTAGAGATAATATTAAAGAATTTGAAAACATTAGCACCCTTGAGAGCAAAGAAATTCGAAAATGTCTTTGCTAAGGACCATATATATATATATATATATATATATATATGTGTGTGTGTTTGTGTGTGTGTGTGTGTGTGTGTATTTCCGTGGAAAGTTAGTCTTATTCATTGTTTTTGCCTATCCTGGCCTTTACCCATGAAGGTTATCTGTTCAATTCCTTACACGATAACCAGATGTGTCGTCTAATACGCAACTAACACAAAAACTTCACAGACCGGTAGCCACCAGATCAGAAACTTTTACTATATATCAGCATTTGATTTATGAGATGCGATGTGATACTGCCCGAATGAAATAGATTCTAAAAATAGTCACAGATCGATCTATCGGCGAAAATTGATGTCCATGTTTCATTTCCGATCTGAAAAGGATTTCGATTATTCTCGTCTAAAGAAACACTGAGAAAGGATTAGCTTTTGATGGACTGACGTTTTGTAAACTGCGTATCTGTGAGGTGATCTAGGAATTAATTGATAAAACTGAGCTATAAAAGTATCTGGACACGTGGATGATTTTTATGGATTAATCTAGATTCAAAAAGTTAGCACTTTTACTTATCTAATTACCTGAATAGATGATCTACGAATCAATTAATTCAACTGAGCTATACAAGTATTTGGACATATGGATTCTTGTTAATTTAACTTGTTTCAAAACTCTAGTACTTTGTTTAGTTGATGACTAACTTACCTGAATAATTTGTAGAGTGATCAACAAATTAATTTGTAAAACTGAGTTATACAAATATTTGGATACATGCATAAAATTTTTATTAGTTATTCCAGTTTCGAAAACTCACCTTTTTGTGTATAAATATACCTACTAGAATAAATTATTCAGAATAATTCGTAATTTACAAATTAACTTATACAGCTGATGAGCTATACAAGTATTTAAACAGATGGGTGCAATGCTTATTAATTAATTTAGTTTCAAAAAATGAGCATTTTTACTTGTTAAAATCTAAAACACCTGAATAATTTGAAGATGTTCTGATATAGAGCAACTAGATATTATGAAAAATTTCAAAGTAGTTCGGCGTTATGACAAACATATGTATCAATATTTTTGAAATTACCAATAATATAAAATCAACTCGATCAAGCATATAATTGAACAAATCACTATGTCGAACATTATTTTTTGATAAGAGATTCAAAAATAAAAAATAAGTTATTTCTCTATATAATTTAAAGTACGTTATAAAAATTGTGGAAATACTTTTGCTATACTATATAAATACAAATTATAGTACCTATTTATAAAACAAATGATAGTACTTATATATAAACATCATAATCTGAATTTCTACAAAAATAATAACAAAAAAATAAAAACAAAAAAAAAATCCGCCGGAATCTAAAAATTTGTATTTTAAATTTTCCAGATTTTTTCTAATATATAAGATATTTTCACAATTAAATTATATATTATATAAAATTATATTCAAAAGTATAAAGTTTTATATAAAAATTACTATTATATTTCTATGTATAATAGTTTTTCCTTACTTTTTTTCAAAACAGATTTTCCTATTATTTAATAATTATATTTATTGAATATAAATGAAGATTAATTGTGCTTTTTTATTTGATAGTTTTATTTTGTTATCAATTCATTAGTATATTGTTCTTACCAGCTAAAATATAGAAAAATGAAATTTGACATAGAAAGTTATAATATTATTTTGTTATTCATTTCATATTCTTATTCATTTTCATTTTCATTTCATTTTATCAAGTTACTGTAATATCACAATAAATCGTTCAATAATATATTGTTTACAAGTTTGAAGGATATACAAACACATGCGTATATTTGAATATGAAATAATAATAAATGGTAGTCTACCGGAAGGCAGGTCCATGGTGTGAGAGCCACCATAATTATATGATTACCTCACCTTTCGCCGTCTATCATTCCTTTTACCACTATTCCCCTCCCCACACACTTTTTTACACATCTTTTTATATATTTTCCTTTCCAAACTTCTTGTTCCATACTTCCTGATCCTCGGCTTTCAGTTTCCTGTATTTTCTCTTATTTGAATATATGCCCTTGTAAATATTTTTTCTTCACAAATTCGCGTTGCTTACAAAATCGTTATTTATGATCTTGTCTTATATTTTTATCATGTTTTATATCATTCGATTTACTTTATCTTATTAAAATATACGTTGATATATGTCATTATACCTCAAATGCAGGTCAGGTCTCTCAAGTGCCACAAATCATATGTTTCACGACACATAGCATGGTATTGGTTTCTGCAATATCCGTATCCAGCAGAGTATATATAACAGGGGTTGCCAACATAAAAGGCAAATATTTACAATGCCTAATTTTTTAAACATTTTGACATAAAGTGTGCTCATCAGTCGATATAAACTTTGGTGTCTTATTCATACACTACCTAGCCAATAACAGAAAAAAGTTTGAAGTAAATTGATAAAACATTGCAGAGACGTGTAACAAAAATAAAATATAAAATTGCAAGAAAACTTGTTTCTAGAAATGGCACCGAAGCTTGAATTTATCAAATTTTTATCAATTTTTTTACTAAAAGAATAGCTCATTTATACATTTATGGGCCGATTTTACCGTAAAATAGACCAATGTTATGGCAAGGCTATGTTACGTACGTACGTTTATATAAAATGGTACTAAAAACTTTCGAATGCTTTGTGTTTGATGTGCAATTAGGCGTTTTAGATAGAAAATTTAACCTAGAAAACGGACAAAAGTCAAAAAAACGATGTTACCATAACTGCATGATTGAGATACGACTTGATAACATATGAGTGA